TCCCATTTTTGATTCACCTCTAAATAGAGGGTAACCTCAACATGAAGCAAGCTATGGGCCTGATTTGGTACAATTCGCTCCTCTCTGGAGCACAGATAAGGACTGTAGGGTTAGGTGCTGCATTGATAGATTACATATAGTATAGAGAATACTACTGGCATGTTCTGGTCCTGAGGATTGTTATGCAATGTTCCAAATGCAACAGTCAACTGCTAAATAATCCGGAGTCAGAAAGAGGCAGAGTGGTTGTGGCAGTGAAAAAAAAACGTGAAGGGAATAAAAATTAATCGTCAAAAGGGTTTTATATTTTATATTAGTAAATCATTTTAACTAATTGATTACATTGTATCTCCATCCAGGCTTCTGATCTGAAATCTTTAGCAATTGGTGGTCAGGGATGTAAGGCACTTGTTCTCTTCATCTGGAAAACATCTATGCTGCAGATTTGCCAACACTGTGGGTTTTTTCTCTCAATCTTTCTTTAAGATTTTTTTTTTTATGCCTTTGTGATTATTTTCTTCTGATCCATTTGCTTATCAATGTAAGGAGCATAAAATAGTATGAGGATACTTGAAGAGTGTTAATGGAAATGTCAATTTACTGGATGCATTTTGGGGTGAAAAGAAGGGTGTAAGATGAAGGTTAAGTCAGCTTGAGGCAGAAGCATCTGATTTGTAAATAACAAAATTGTAGGATTTATTCTTTTTGATGCATCACACTTTTAATAAAAGAAAATCCCCTGGAAACCTCTGTAAATGGCATGAAACATATAATTAGACTTAGCTTTTCTCACTCTCTGCTTATTTAAATGCTCAGTAACTTCAGTGGTGATTCAGTAACAACTGATTTTATAGAAACATCTGACAATGAGAACAAATATTTGCAGTGTTTTCAGTCTCTGCTCTATATTTGTCCCTGCTCACCACAAAGCACAAGGGAGAACTTGCCTTCCTTGTGTGTAAATAGGCACTGCTTTCTTCACTGCTCCCACCGGTAACCATATCCACTTTCCAACACTAAATATCAGGTGTGGCTTTTCACACCTGTATTCTTACCTCTAAAATGATATCCCCCAAAAGTTCCAGACGCAGACCTCCCTGAGAGCTCCTATCCTCCCAAAAATGAGCGCCACCACCAGTTAGGCTTTGGCGTCAAAGACACCACTGCCAGGCACAGCTGGTGGATGGGTGGTGGCACAAATGCTAACCCAGGCGCTCACCTACCCCAACAGCAGATATACAAGGCTGTGCCACTGTCGAGTGTGTTTCCTTTTGCCTGGGCTACACCACCTCTGCCTTTCCCTGCTTGCTAGGGGAAGAGGCCTTGCACGTAGAGAGCCACAGCGGCAGAATCATAGCTATATGTGAGCTATAGAACCATCTAGGGTTTACTTTGCTGCCCTGAACCTCTTCACCAGCTGCCACAGCCATCAAAGCAGCCACCAAAGCAACCTGTGTAGCAAATCCTGGGTCATCTCATTGATTTTGTTTTTACCCTTTGGAAAGTAGTGTTCATCCCAGTTTACACTCCTGCGAAGGAAAGTGATAGGTAGAAAGATGCCATCAGAGTGACTGCCACCAAGTCCAGTCTCTACAGGCAAGAGCAGCTGCTGTAGTGTAGTCCGTAGTGTAGTCCCATTCCCTGCCCCTCTTACCTTGGTATCTTCTGGGGAGTATGGTGGATCTATTCCCTGCTGACTTCAGTGGTATCTGCTGCCTATACCACATGCAAAATTAAAGGGCAACTAGTGAATATGACTCTCCTAATATGTGCAGTATGACTGATCCATGCAAATGTCTTTACTTGTGGGGACATGGCTCGGTGAAATTATGTCACAGGAGATAGGGAACCGGAGTTGCAATTCCTGACTCCTGAGAGCAAGCCAAGGACATCAATGCTCACAGCAACCCAATCCAGGTTGCCAAAATTATTCTGGAGACCATTTTGTCTCCTCCCTAGCCTGGAATTTAGGAAATCACACCCACTCAGAGCCTCCTTGTGGTAGGACCACTGGCAGGTGAACACAGGTGTTGAACACCAAACAATATATCCATATTCTGCCTCATGCACTTTTTACACCCATTTCCAACCTGTCAGAACAAGGAGAAAAGAATACAGCCAATATTGTCACTTCTGAATTTAAAAAAAAAAAGTAACATATATATAAAAATATATATATAAAAATAACTAATTTTAGAGGGTTTCAGGTTGAAGGTTGCTTGTCAGAATCCAAGAAGAGAGCAGCAGTTGTTCTGACACTGTGGTTTTCACATCCTTGTCAGATATTTGAAGCAGGATAGCTGATGTGTGTTAAAAAAGGATGGTAAGGTTTAAAATAGTTTAGATGATGCCTGGAGCAAGTTTTAAGTGATATAGTAAGAAGCATTGGTAGGAGTGTGCATGCACCTAACACAATCTGTATGGGAAAATGACTTGGTCAAATGCCGGTGCCTTTAATGTGATGCTGACCTGTAACACCGCAGAGCAAATGACCAAGAGAGGCATCAGGATTTTTCCCAAGGAACGTTTTTAAAACATTTGGAGGGAAGGAGAGAGGGGGAGCCTGGAAAAGACTTCCATGGCGAGTTAAAAAAGCTCTCTTCTGTTTTTTGACAGCTCTAATAACCCCCAGTCCAAGATTTGGGCTTGGAAAGGGGCCAGTTGGCCAAGCCTCCATCCACAAATGAGCTGGAGGTGATGCTGATAGTCAGAGGGAAGCAAACAGAAGAGCTAGTAAGTCCAACACCACTCGAAGAAGGGGATATCTGCCAGTTTGTGGATAAATCTGCAGTTTAGTTGCACAATGGTCACTGGGACATGTGTCTCTGCTTCTCATGGTATCTAATACAGTCAGCAGCCACTTGTAGAAAGGCAGCAATTTTCCAGGTATTGGGTAATTTTGTACACATGGGGTTTCTTTGAAAATATACTGAAGTATCTAATTGTTTCAAATCATTTGAGCTTTTCTAAATATCTTTGTAACCCTTGTGTTTCTGCAGATTTTAATGTACACAGATAATCTCCTGAAGTTGCAGAGAAGAAAACTTTTCCATTGGTGATAAGAATTGGGGCAATCAACTAACTCTGAAACTTTTGGATGGCCATCAAAATGTCATCTTTGCACCCAGATTCTCTGCTGCTAATTTCACCCCATTAGTTTAACTGGTAGTCATTGGGAAAAATAGTGAGACGCTAAGAAAACCAGGAAAGAGTAAACTTTATCTAGACCAAAATAGGTAGAATAGGGGCTACTGTGTAATTATATAATTTATATTCACCATTCAGCCTGGTTAAAACAAAAAAAAAAACAAACACCATCTTCCATGCTAATAATTCCATCTCAAATCTGTCCATTGACCTCACAAAGGCACAGCAACATCCAAGGGGCTTTGGCTGACATTCTCAACACACTGCTGCTGCTCCTGCTGCCCCCAGCTCCAAAAGGCATGTCTCCTTTTGCAAAGAAGAGTGGGCACATGTCAGAGATGTTTGCTTTCTCTCCTGTGATTTCAGAACCAAAAAAGCAGACATTTAACCCAAATCCCCACCTCATCCTTTTTCAGAGCTTGCTGCTGTTGCCACCACCCTGACGACCAAAGAGATGGCAGGTCTGGGCACTCGGCTCAGAGCTGGGCCTTCTCTGCTCCAAGTGTTGCTCAAGTTTACCACTCTTGCTATTACAAATTCACCCCCTCTCTAGGTGGAAAAAAAGAAAAAAAAAAAGAAAAAAAAAATGTTATCACTGAGCATATGCAACTGCTAAACATCCTATTCAATATAACTTCAGCCTGTTCCAAGAACTACATTTCACAGTTTCTTTATACAGTATCTGTCTGTCAGATATTGCCCACTAGATTACCACAGTCTATATAATATACTTCCACCATAAAAAAAAATAGTTGTTTTTTTTTTACTACATGGTGTAGAAAAAAAAAACAGAGATTAAGATTTTTATTTTCATTTTACATTTCACGTGTACTATCTTCCCTGTATAAATGTCACATAGCACTGAGCAAATTTAAACACTACCATGTATTTTTGCCTCCATTTTGGCATCATTTCTTTACATAGATAGTACTGCATCAATTTAAGGTATTTCTAGAGCATCTGTCACCCTGGTTCTTCAGTATGACAAGGAGCCAATAGCCTATACACAGATTATTTGGGCCCCCTGCATGTTTGAATGTTACACTAAATAAAAATTCTTAAACTTTCATCTCTTAATAAATCAATTTCAGACCTGGCATAAGCAAAGGCAACTTCTCAGGTCCTGATCAGGCAGTATTACTGTAGTAATTAACCACTAGTCAGAGGCAGTGGAGCAGAGGCTACTCCTTTAATTGCTTTATTTATTTCTTTTTTTTACTTTTTGGGTTATGGTTTCGTCCAGCTGCCCCTTCCTCCTTTCTGTTCCCCATGTGGCTGAACTGTGATCATACCAACCAAAAGCTGAGCAGGGTTGAACAACAAGCACCATTGCTTGCACCTATTTGCTGGCCAACTTATAACCGATTTGCAGCTTATGTTGTTCCTTTATTGCCACCAGCTATATGTGAGGTAGGTTCTTGAGGATGATGATTTAAGCATATTACAACATAACAACAGAATACTGACGTCTCACTGGGAGGACACTGTGAAAATCTATATAAAAAGTTCTTGATATTTTAAACACCTGAAATTGAAACAAACTTTGGTCTTCTTGCTATAAGCTTCATGTAAACAAGAAGGGAACACTGTGTATCTGAGATATTTCTTTATGGTTTCCTAGCTTAACCCCAAGCGGTTTTACATAACGTGTATGTATTGCGGGAGACCTTATCACTCAAGTTAAGAAAATGAGGCCTAAATGTGCTCATATCCAGAAGATTCATGGTCTTATTAATGCATATATTCCATGCATAGATTATTAACAGCTTCATAACTAGATAGAAACTTACATTTCAATAAACATACTTTTACAACTGTAAAGAAAAAAAGTTTTGCATTAGGATGTTACTTACTTCATGTCTTTGTCCTGGGAGAATGCAACTAAAGAAACCACATTTAAAATCAGACATTAGATATGCAAATATGTGTTCAGATCAGAGATAGGAAAATTATTCAAATGATTAATTATTCATCATAAAAATGTCAATTAATAATTCTGAAGCATAATAGGCATCTTTCTAATGCATCTTTATTTTTCAAGCCTAAATACTGTTGAATCTATGTTCAATTGCATTCTAACAAGTTTTTAAAAATTCAACAAAGTAAACAACCAACTATAAACAAAAGTGAGCAGTGAATTTTAATTACTGCCAACTGAGCCAAGAAATGTGTCCAAACTTCAGCATCAATCCCAGAGGAGAAGGAAAAACATCTAAGTCTCATGGTGTGGGACAGTGGATGGAGGATGCTTACCCACTGACCTGTGGCCACCGCTCCCATCTCTCTCACTTCTCTCTGCTCAGCATGAGAAGCAGGATTTGAGTCCTGTAGATGCTGTTCTCCTCCCACAGACAGACAGACAGACAGATGTTGTGGACAAGAGCTGAGCAGCTCTAGACCATCATAAGCAACTTTATAAATGACAAAATTGATAAAAACTTATGGGGAAGATTCACTTTTAACATGCAAGGACTCCCACAAGATTAAATATTACAGTGATCTACTTGTTAGAAATGCCCAGGGATAGATAAATTGAAGCCAGACAATCCTTTCCTTAGCTTTTGGCTTGTATCCTATTCCTACATGGGTTTTCCACAGAGGAACTCAAAAACTTTGAGAATGTTGATTCAAAGGTTTCTTCCCAAATACCTCATCAGCAGGTGGGGGGAGAATCATTTCCTGGCCCTTTCTTCCTCTCCTCCATGTGGAAATGGGAATAAGAAAAAAAAAATGTTTTCCTCTCTAAATCTTAGCTTACAGGGACAGCTGTATCAAGCAAAAGTATCCAGTAGCATCTTGGGCCCACACAGGGCCTTCACCGCTCAGAAAAATCATTCCAGCCTGTCTTATCTTCCACCACCACAGGTGACTGCAGAAAATAATCCCCCTCCAGCATTTTTTGGTTGGTTGGTTGGTTGGTTGATTGGTTGGTTGTCTGTTGGTTAAGGGGTTTTTCAACCTCCTATTTTTTTCCCAAGACGAGGGCAGCTTCCTCATCCCAGAGATCCATGCATGAGAAGCAACCAGCACCCATGCGTAGCCCTGATCTTGCCACAGCCGTTCTCCCCACAGAACAGGACTGCAGGGAAGAATGCTCTCCCCAGATTTGGCAGCAAGTGGGCACATCTCATCTGGGTCCCCTGCACAGGGATGTTTAATCCCTAATGCAGGAAGGGTTCCACACTTTGGGGAAAATATAGGAGAGCAGTGGCTATGAAGGACCCAAAGGACAAGCCTCAGAGTAGCAATTGTGTTTTTAGAGGTGCTAAACATCAGCTTTCACCAGCCTCTAAAATGTATTAGTCAAAACCTATCAGCTAGAGCATCTCCACTGCTATTCCCTGATTTTTCTCCTTCCAAGCAGGCAAGAAAACACGCTCTCCTTTACTCATCCTGCACCAGGGAAAAAGTAAACACACCAAAATAAAAAAGGCCATGAATCACCCCGCCAGCCCCTAGGCGGGGGGGACCCCAGACACTAGGTCCCTACAATGCCATGATTGCAGAAGGTCTCAGCAGAAGGCCGAGCTCCTCCAGGGCCTATGCCCTGTAGCCTGCCTTGGTGGCTGATCCCCCCTGCCCATCACACCCAGGGGCCCTGGGGGTTTCTCCTGTACAGCCCCTTTCTCATGACAACCAACTCCTGTCAGCAGTGTTTGCCCCTTGCTGGCTCTGCAGCTTTGCACAGAGATGGGAGGGACATAGGGTTATCTCCAGGGACCTTATTCCACCAGTGTGGGATTTGGTGGACAAAGGAAAACCCCCTGAAGAAGAGGAAGCAAGCTGGCATCACCCATGGCATTGCTCAGGCAGGTTTGCGTCAGGAATACCCGGCTTCCCCCTTCTCACCTCTGCCTTTCCACATACGAAAACTTGAGGAAAAGAGGGAAAACCTTCACCCTTAAAACTGTCTCCAAGCCACAGCACTGGCTGTCGAGAGCTGGGTTTGTGAGGAGATTTTGGGCCTGTTTGATTTAAACTGATGAGGGAAGGAGAAGAATTGTATTCACAAAAGTTTAATATGGAGCGAGGTGTGGGCTATGTTGGGGATGCTGACCATGAAGGGCCTGGGAGCCCGACTGCCAGCACCACCCCAATAAAGGCAGGATCCATAAGCTGTCATTATTTCCATCTCCTAAAGAAGCTGCACGCTCGTTATTAGTTCAGAGCTGGGCAGGAAATCATCGCCTGGATTAAGGTTAAATTCCGTCTTAGAAGGGCTTAGCTGATTGCTAAGTGTTTATGTCCAGTGTCCAAAAATTGAAAAAAAAAAAAAAAAAAGAAAGGACTAAGCCCTACAGCCCCACATACCACATTAAAATAACATCTAATAAGGGTGGGTGTCATGCCACTCCTGCGAAGATCAGAGCAGTTTACTGCTCCGATGCAAGCCCTGCTGAGGCAGTTCAGAGCTGAAGAAACTGTGAGATTGAGGGCTGAAAGAACAGCCTGCAAAATTATGAATAGGGATTATCAACATGTTCCTTACAGCCCTTAAGCATCATCACACGATCTGAGGGTTTGTTTTTTTAGTGTAGCTGCAGATATATATTTTAATGATATAACATCGATGGCATTCCTGTTTATTGCAGGTTTGGCTGTGGCTTCTCTTAATCTCTAGTTCATCCTCTCGTTTTATAATCTGGAAATACATGAACAATATGTAAGGAATTGGTAATGGGATTAATTTATTTTGAGTACTTGTTGGTTGGTTTTTGCTGTTGCCTTTTTATCATATAAAACATGGGTGACTGAAAATCAAGAGAGTCAGAAATTAGCATTCAAGTTTTTCTTTTTCTTTCTTTTTTATCATATGCATCTAAATTCAGTTTAGCTCTTTAAGGAATTGCCAGACTGCCCTTGATTTATAGGCAGTGTCTTCGGGATCTGAGTGGATCTAATTCAAATTAATAATACTCGAATCTGATTTCAGGTTATTATTTGCACTGTGCTATGTATTTCATTAAGATATCATCACTTTGTATGTGTGTGTGTAATATACCTCTGTATATACAGGTATATTTAGACAAGGACAAGTCACATCCTGCAAGAAAATCATGTTGGTGTTTAGCAAATAGTGGCAACAAAACTTTTAGCAAAGCCAAGCCAACTCGTACTGAGGAAAAATATAAATTAAAATAATTATTATTGTAATAATAATAAAAAATTGAAGAACCTTGTTCTCACCTTTGCATAATTAGGGAATTCAGCGGCAGCAGACCGCCGGGTCTACAGGCTGATTTGCTTTAAGCTGCACGGTGGCTGGCAGCCCCGAACAGGCAGGGAGCAGGCAGCCTCCCCCTACTCCTGCCGCAGCTCGGGGTTGCCGAAGGGGATTCATGGTGGAGGATCGGGGGTATTTGGTGGCTATTTCTTCCCCACTTCAAGGCGGGGGGCTTTGGGGTACCGCGCACCACGCAGGGTGACCCATTCCCGTCTAACTCAGAGATGCCCCCCAGAAAAAACAATCCCGAACAAATCTGGGTGGCTGCAAGGACACACTGGGTTAGGGAGAGAGGGGTCCCCGTCCTTCTCTTTCACTGTTTGATCACCAGGAAGGTGCTCTGTGTTTGAGCGTATCACGGGGCGCGGTGGCCAGCTCCCGCCGCTGCATCCCAGCCCTCGCTTCGGGCGCGCAGTCAACGCACAGCTCAGGAGCAGTTTATCTCATCTGAACGTAAGTAAAAGTGTAGTGTCGGATCAGTGAACCATTTGTTTCGGATTTCTTCAGGAGGGGAAGAAAAGAAAAAGAAATAAAATTAAAGCTCTGTAATGGATTTAACTCTTGTCAAAGGAGAGAAATTGTTTCGCAGCTATTTAACACAGCTCCACGTTTACCTCGTCAAGGACCGCGCCAGTAGGCAAGATGTGAAGTTTATCTTTTCAGTGAGACAGTTTCGAGCTCTTTTTAGGGGAAGAAACGGCTGTGGGCTGGGCGAGGAGCTGGGCATGAGCGGGTCGAGGCTCAGCCGTGTCCCTGCGCCGATAAACAGCATCCCCAGCCCGGGCTGCCTTCACCTACTCCGATAGTAGTTCTCAAATACGTCTGGGATAAAGCGGCTTTTTGATGAACGAAACAGCAGAGCACTGGTTAACAACACTTAAACTTAAAAAAAAAAAAAAAATCCCCTGGGAAGTGGGCTCTGAATTGGTTAATAATGTGCAGTACTTGCTAAATTGCTGACTTCCAGATGTGGAAAATATCTTTCTTGTTTAGGACCTACGTAACCTGATTGGATTACGACAGAAGCGTCACATTGGAAGGCATTTGAGTGATGATTTAATTAACCATACAGTAGAAAGCTGTATTTGCCAGGAAACCCCCTCCATATTTGCATAACCAATCCCTTCAGTGCAAAGGTGGAGTCTGGTGCTCTTTTTTTTTTTTTTTTTTTTTTTATATATATGTGATTTTATTTTAATTTTAATACTTGAAAAAGGTGAAAAACTTGTAACCTCTCTGAAGTTCAGTCCCACTCGTTACTCGTCCGAGCTGTTTCTGCCTATCCAGCCACTTCCCAGGGAGAACAGAGCCAGGAAAAGAGCCCATCTCACCCCTGATCCCTATCTGGGAACAAAACAGATAGGCTGTAAGATCTCAGCACGGGTTAGAGGTTCGGTTTTTTTGGTGTTGGGTTTTTGGTGTTGGTTTGTTTTTTTTTTTCATCAGATTTAGCTGACTCTTCAAATAACCTGGATGAGCGCTGAAATGAAAGGGGAAAAAACCCAAAACCAACAAAACAACACACCCGCCCCAAAAGAAACGTGTTAAGATAAAAATAAAACAGCACCAAAGCGAGCAGGACTCAGCCAGGAGCTTATTTGCAGTGCCCTAACAGAGTTTAGTTTCTAGGCATTATGTTAGGGTAAGTTTTCCCTTCCGCATGAGCCAAGAGCTCCGAGAAAAGCTGGGAACCGGGACGGTGCAGGGCGCAGGATGCGGCCCCAGCCGGCTCGGCGGGAGGGCGGGGGGGGGGGGGGGGGGGGGGGGCATCCCGCGCGGGGGAAGCGGGGGTGGAAACGACAGGGATCCCGCCGGGAATGGGGGTGGGAAACGGCAGGGATCCAGCCTGGGGGCAGGGGATCCGGCTGGGATCCAGCCTTGGGGGGGGGAGGGGGGGTCTGACAGGGATCCTGATGGGGGGCGGGGGGATTCCGCCGTGAGAAGGGAAGGGGATGCAGCTGAGGGGGGCGAGACACATACCCCGGGAGAGGGGGGAGCGGGGCAGGGATGCGCCCCGGGGAGAGCGGGGATGAGCCCGCGGGGGGGCAGAGGATGCAGCCGGGGACGGGGGAGTTGGCAGGGTTGCAGCCGCGGGCCAGGGGTGCAGCCCCCCCGGAGAAGGGGGGTGGGAGCAGCGTTGGGGCTCAGTGAGTTTCCGCGGGGCGCCGCGGTGGGGTGAAGGCGGTGGGGCGCGGAGAGGCGCGGAGAGGAGCGGAGCGGCGGGGCGGGGGGCGGGCGCGGGGCGGGGGGCGGGCGGGAGGAGGTGGAATTGCATTTCTGCCGCTAAAGCTTTCGCGGAGACTTCAAGGTATAATCTATCCCAGATCCTTTCCCAGAGAGAAACTTGGCGATCACGTTTCCACATGATGCTCACGTTTGGTGCTCTTCAATTATCCCTCCCCACAAAGATAGGTGGCGTGTGTTTCAGGGTCTCTCCTCTCGCTCCTACAGAAAAGAAAAAGAAAAAAATGTCATTAGAAGAGGCGTAACACGTCAGTCCGTCCCCAGGTTTGTGTTTCCTGGAGTGGCAGAAAGAGATCAGTCCTAACCTGCCCAGCAGGAATAACGGTCCTTCCGACAACTCTTTGCAAGGCTTTTTACAATTTCTCCAGGAGCTGCATCTCCCTTCACCTTTTCTCCTCCACTTCGAGGCTTCTTCATGCTTTTTCTTCTCACCATTTCTGGCCAAAACTACAGACAAGACTTCGCAGGTAGGTTCGGAATTTAATACCATTTTCTTCCCCCCCCCCCCCCTTCTTTTTTTCCCTTTCCCTTCTTTTTTTTCTCACGCACTCGCGGACTTATTTAATTTCGGGAATATTTTAATTATTTTAAGCGTGATGCTTTCTTTCTGCTTGTTTATACTTGGGGCGAGAAACCTCTTTTTTTTTTTTTTTTTTTCTTTTCAAACCGAAACCTGAAGTCGCTTCAATACCGCTCCAGGAAGGGGTGAGCAGTTTCGGGGTGCTGTGGGCTGTGCCACCACCAGCCCTACTCCCCTTACCTGTCATCCAGGTATGGGAGGTGCCTTTTACAAGGCAGCAAAAAAAGTTCTAGTGCTAGGGAGGGACTTAGTACTTCTGCAGGGAAAAAAAAAAAAAAAAAGAAAAGAAAAAAGAAAAACACCCCAAAACCCCAACATTCCCGCACCCACCTCCTGATCTTTTTATTTCAGGATTCACATCTTAGCTCTGAAAGTTTACAGGTACCTGTTAATGCCTTGCACGCCCTGAGCCTGCAGAGCCAGCCCGGCCGGGCACCGCTGGAGCCCAGCTCCGGGCAGGGCTCCCCGGCAAAGTATGTGCTTCCCCAAACAGAAAGTTTGATGATTTGTCTGCTTAGGTAGTTTCATTTCTTTATTTTATTTAGTGAAGCTGGGTGAAGTAATACCTTAGCTTCTGGGATCCTAAAGCAAGAAATGAAACTACTGACTGGAACTTAAAAGTCGTTTACCAAAAAGCAATATATATATATATGTGTGTGTGTGTATATATACATGTATTTTTATATATGTGTGTATATATATTCAAAAGCTAGCCAGTCCTCTGGGAAGAAAGGTGCTCTCGAGATCTGCAGGTTTGAAATCATTGACAACTTTTTGCGGGGGGCTGAGGGCAGGGAAGGTGGTGAAACGCATTTCAAACAATTCACCATTGGTGGTTTTGCGTTAAAACGCCAGT